AACTCGCGCCATGGCCGAGGGGTGACGAAGGAGGTGGTGGTGGTGGTGGTCGGTGGAGTGGCAGTGGTGGCGCCGGCGATGGTGCCGTAGCCGGCGGTGGGAATGTTGGACATTTGGGAGTGTAGGTTAGATCTGGGAGTGTGGCATGTCTTTATTTGTTTTAAAGAATAATATTTTATAAATTAAAATATTATTGTATACAAAATTATATAAAAAGTACTAAATTGATTTCACTTTCCCTCTCTCTTTAGGGCTGTTTAATTTCCTTTTCCTTTTCCTTTGCTTTCTCACCATTGCACTTTCCAGCAAAATAATATCTTAACTTCCACTTTGATAATTTATCCTTTAAGCAAAATAAATACAAGAAACGAAATCGATACAGAATATAAATTAATGTGCAGTCCGTCTAAGCACATATTTTACTTTAATCGCTTTTTTCTAGAGGAAGAAAATAAAAATATATATATGAAAAATATAAAGTGAAAAAATATAACAAAAATAAATAACTATTTCATCATTAGTTTTTATTAATAATTATAATATTACTTAACAAAACTATGACCTATTTCATCATTATACATGATTTATTACTATTTCGAAGTTTTGTTTTAGACTAATTTAATTCTGTTGGAAGACACCTGAATAAATACTAATTAGTAAATAATTATATTGTTTAATACGATTAATTACCAGTATTTTAAAAGTAAATTCACGATTTTTTTTAATTTATTTGTGCAGAAGTTTCATTTTGCAGTATAATTGATTTAAGGTTTAATATTTATTTTAGTTTCTTGGTTTGTTATATTTATTTAAAGTAGTCCTACATTTTTCATATGTTGTATATTTTATAAAAATTGTTTAAGTTGTTTTTTTTTTGCGTTAAAAACACTAACATGTAATTGTCCCCTTGGTCAAAACTAGGTGATCTGTGGAGTTTTGCAATACTAGATACAATTGGTCCAATTAACATGACATGATTAAAAGTTAAAGTTAAATTTAAGCCGAGGAAGGTTAGAGTTTTGAGTTTTTTATGCTTCTTACGATGAAGAACCAAGTTTTCTCGAGGTGTAGAAGACAAACACAGTGGAGTGATGGTGCGATTTGAGTTTTTGCATATTACGAACTTTCTAATTTAGGATTTTAGGGTGGTGTTGTGGCTTGGTTGTTCGCGAGAAAAGGATGATCGCAATTAGGGTTTCACATTCTCAATTTGGTGTTTTGTGGTGGTTTCTTGCAAGTTGAATCGTATCCATGGAGGTTTGAACGAAAGTTTCTCTCGTTCTTGCAGATTTTGAGAAGAAGGGAATACACGATGACAGTTTTGGAACAAGGTTACTGGTGATTGTGATTTGGATGTGGTTTGTTGTTTCATATTCATGGTTGCACGAGAGAGAGGAACGAGAAAGCTCTCGTGGTGGCCGACATGGTGGTAGCCCAAGAGAACTGGTAGTTGTTGTATTGGTGGTGGTAGCTGGAAAAAAAAATATAAGAATCTATTAAGAATAAAATAAAATAAAGGAAAAAAATATAAAAAATGAAATAAAAACTTTTAACCTTGTCTCGTCGTGCCATGAATCAATAACTTCGAGAAAAAATTATACCATAAGCAAAATAAGACCGAGAAACAAAAATAAATATTAAACCTTAATTTAAAATATTTTGGATTCAAAAGTATACTTTCTAAATTACAGAATTCAAAATGCATTAAAAAAATATGTTTATATACATTAAAAGATATTCCTGATTCTAGAATTACTTTTTAAACTGTACCATTTAAAATATATTTAAAAGAGAATTTTTAGATGTTTCGAAAGATAATTTTAAATTGATGTTCCTTTCTTCTCCTTCCTCTTTGGCTGTTTCCTGTTCTGCTCTTTCCTTTCTCATATGGTGATCTAACAGTGGCAATGGAAGTAAATAGATGCACTACCGCTGGAATAAAATTGTCATTACATCACACCTATGGAAGTGCAGGAATAAAAAAAGCAGGTGCAAGAATAAACAACCCATATGATTGTTAGATATAGTACTATGGACATAAACAGAGGGTTACTCCCTCCACCACCACGCCGCTTCCTGCACCTCCCTATTTTCATTTTTACCCTTCAGTAATAATTAACTTTTGTTTTTATTTTTTTCTCCAACAACCAACCACTTTCATTAATGGTCCCATCACTCCCATCACTGTATCAATGCATCTCCCAAACAGTCCACTGCTTTCGCTTGAATGAAAATCCTCTCACTCTTCTTCTTCCTCTAATTTTTGTTTACTGAAAGTGTGGTGGTGTAGTCTAGGATTACGGTGGTGTGTTTGGTTGGAGATAACATTGGTTCGTTGCGATGCAAGAAGGTGCTCCAGTGAGTAATTAGAGGAAGTGGGGGTGCAAGAACAAGAAGGTGCACTGGTGGAAGAGCTTCGTCTAGTGGTGGTTGAAGGTGGTCCGCGAGCTTCACAAGTTTTTTAATATATAAGTCTAACACTGTAACGGACGTGGGTATGCACTGAAGTATTAAACGGATGTCAGCATCCATAAACGGATATCGACATCCGTTGAATGAGAAACGAATGTCGATATTTGTCCAATAAAGGATTGATATATGGGTGTGCAGGTTGGGGTCTGGGCAGGGAAGTTTTTGATGGGAGAGGGTCATGCTTCGTGTGGTTAGGGTACAGATGAATGTTTTGTAGAGTGAGGGTTAGGTTTTAAGGATGAGATATAAGGAAAGAGGCAGAAACTCGTTTTACGTAAGAAAGAAGGAGGAAGAGATGATTTTAGGGCATGAAATATGTAAAGTGTTTGATTAATGAAAGGAGTTTGAAGTTGTTGTGAAGCATGGAAGAGGTTTAAAGTGAGAGTAGGAGAGTTATATTGAGAGTTTGAGAAGAATTTAGTGGTTCTGTAAAACTAAAATGATGAGAGGGGTATATGTTTATTTGGGTGAATGGAAGAGAGAGAGTAGTGTGAATGATAAGGAAGAAATCAATGAAGAAAGGGGTTCTTGGTGGGTTGGGAAGAGCAAAGCCTTGGTGATGTGGGTTGGGCTTGGAGTGAAGGTGACGTTGGAGGAAGAATAGGGGTTGCAGGTACTACTACAAAGATGAAGAATGGGTTTGGGTTTTGAAAAGAGTTATGGGTGAGATGTAAGGGTTTGAGTGGAAGGAAGAAAGTTAGTAGAAGGATGTGTTTTGGTAGTTATACTGAGAGATGAGTGGTTAAAAATGTAGAGTCAAAAAATAATTGTCTGCAGGAGAGCTTTGTATGTTCATATGAGTGGTCTTTCTCCATTCTCGCGTGAATAGGAAAATCAGAGTAAAGTGAGTGGGTACATTTTGTGATAAGAGAAGGAGAGGGAGCGTCGGGTTGTGGTTGAGGGTTTTCTTGAAATCTGGAAAGATGATCAGTGTGTGTTCGTGGGAGAGAAGAAGTAGTTAGAGAGGTGAGAACCTTTGCATGGGAGAGAGGAGAGGCTTTGTACGAGAGACTGTTGTGCTAGAGGAAGGTGAGTGTTGGTTTGGGAAGCTCATTTTCGTTTAAGTGGGAGAAGGAAAACAACGTTTTAGGGTTGGTATTAGAGAGTGTAGTAGATAGAGGATGGGCTTTTGCATGGAGAAGGTTGGTTACGAGAATGAGATTTGGCTTATTAGAGTGAAAAATAAATAAAGAAAAAGGTGGAGAAGAATGGGTTTAAGTGTTTAATGAAATAGAAAGAGAGTGTGTTGATGGAGTTTGTTTTAATACTAAAATATGTAATTTCGTAAGTTGAGCCCCTGTGTTTTATGAGTGAGAGATTGAGAGAAAGAAAAAATTATAAGTGAAAACGGATGTGGTGAAAACTGGATTGGGAAAAACGGATATGGAGAGGAGAGAAAGAGAAAAAGTGAGACTTTGGGTGGTGTGGGGCTGTGCAGCTGTGAAAGTAAAAATGACATGTAAAGATTAGGATTTTCTTAAAAAAAAGTAAAAAGGTAAAAGGTTAAAGTAAAAAAAGGATAGTTTAGTAATTAAAAGAATATGAGAGAGGTGCAGGGAACACTTGGGGTGGTGGAGGGAGCAACTTCCACATAAACAATAAGATTCAGCCTTCATTAGCCCAAACGATGATGGAATGTTCCTCCGAAGAAATTTTTAAGAACCATCACAATATTTTGATACCAATATTTTCTACACTCCTTCTATAATTATTATTTTACTCTTAATTATCTCTTTTATTTTATAAATATAAAATTTTATTTATTTAATAATCATATTATCTTAAAACTAGATTATCAAACGATTAGGTTAAACTTCGAAACTCCTTTTATTTACAAATTAAGGTGAAAATGAGTATTACAAGTATCATACACGAGTTTAATATATTCATGTAAGAGCCATAAATATCATAGACTCAATCTTTGAAGTTACTAAACTTACTAATGATCAAATCACTATTAAAAAAACTATACATAATTAAAAGTTGCTTCTGGTGAGATCTCTTCCATTCTAATGAAGATCGAATCTAGTAAATATGGATGACAAATATAAGTATTGTATAAATTTAAACATGTTAATAAAATTATCTAAACTTATCAAATATAGATATAAGTATAAATACGATTAATATTCAACTTCTTAAATTAAAAAAAAAACTTGTAGGAATCATCATATATTCATGTGTTTTATAAAACACTTTTAGTTTATTTAATATTTTATTTTAAAGTTTTTATGTAATTTTTTTTCTTTGATGTTATTTGTGAAGTAAGAGATATATTTTTTACATTGAATTATTTATAAGATATTTTATTCTCCCTTTATTTTAAGTTTTAGAATTTACAGAAAAAATATATAATATTTTTGTTCTTCTTTAAAAAAAAAAAGTTGTAAATTTTGAATATTTTGGTATTTGAAGTAAAAATCCTTTTTATAATTTTGGTTTGAGCACGAAAAGAATGAAGAAAATAGAAGAAAAAGGGAAAGAAAATGAATACACCATAACCAACAATTACATTTTTGCAAGTTAATGTTTTACAATGAAGTGATCACAACATGTGAAAGGATGTCCTAAGCTAAGGAAAGGGCGTAACACTGATAATCTAGTAATACATATATATGTCATCGGTGTGAAATCTCTTAAGTGCATGTTCAAGAGAGCTATGATCCTCAACCCACTTTGCTATTCTTAATTATTGTACTTTTTACCATTTCATCCAAAAAATAGCTATAGGAATTCAAATACGCTCTGCCAGGGACACTTTCGGATTACAACATAAAAAACAGAATAATTAAAATCGCTCAAGAAATTAGGGTTCGTCATAATTGCTTCCATCGCTCTGCTCTAACCAAATTCTAAATTCACCCACCAAAGTGAATTACTTAGTCTCCAACAAAAAATCCCTTCACAAGGAATAATCGTATTCAAGTTTAAGCAAAGTCTCTTTTTTATTTTCTCCCAATTTCTTCATATATTTTTTTCTGTTTTTCTGCTTTTGTTTCGTCCCCTCTCTGTACAGAACATCCCACAAATTATTTTCTCAAGAAGATTGCATCACAGAACATGCTACGGCTTGAGCCCAATGCCTTAACTTGGTCTTCACATGTTCAGGGTCATCCCCTGCAAAAAATATTCAAACTTTTAAGCAATGAAAATTAAAATTAATAATCAAATGATTATTACGATAAGAGGGTTGAATAATGAAGAAGATAAAGAGACCTGGGCTACAAATCTTCCAAGAGTCAGAGTCACTTCTAGGGCTTCCGAACGAGGAAGAACGACCTCCGAGGGAAGAGGCACGACTCTGAGGAGTGGAGACAGGGCTAGGAGACAACCTGCGGTTGACAGCGAAATAAAGATCGAGTGCGGGCAACGTGTTACACAGTCTCTGACCGTCTTCCTCGTTGAACCCGAATCCAAGTTCTATACACCCTTTAAGCTCGTTCAGGTCCTCGTCGGTCAAATCATCACATACCGTGGAACTTCTCCTCCGCTCCTGCATTCGTCTTCTTTCCCATGCAATGTCTCTTGGCTTCTCGCACATCGATAGCTGCTTCGATAACCTCTTCTTGTCCTTCCACAATGGTGGAGCCAACAGCATGTGTTGCAACTCCTCGTCTGACTCGCTGGGCGATGAGGAGGAAGAAGAGGAAGATAACAGCATCTCATGATGATGATGATGATAGTGATGATGATGCTCCTTGTGCCTTTCCTCCCTCATATTTGCAGCGCAGAGGGTGGTTGTGGAGGAAATAAAATTGATGTGGTGGCTGTGACGGCGGAGGCGGCAAGGGGGAGGCGCCTTGCGTGGCCTCGCCGGGAAAGGTAAACGGATTGTGGTGGATAAATGAATGAATTGTAGGTGGAGTGCGACAGGGAAAAGGAAGAGGATAGAGTGTTCTAATATTGGCGGGTTTTGTGTTGGGGCTTTGAGGTTGGACCATCCATTTGTAACTGTCAGCGGCAACATTTTAGGAGCAATATTTAGTAGGCTTTTTTCAAGGGCGTTGCTACATTCTCGTGGAATCTTTGGGATCACACGTAACGATAATTAAACTAAGCTTTGCGCTTTTGCTTGCATCGCAACTGATTCAGTTTCAATCTTCTTCTTCACTTCTTCCTCTTAATTCACCACAGACTGACGCTCGCCAAAAAATAACATCACAGAACTTCTATACATTCATGATTAAGCTGGGTGTTTGATGTAAAAAAGACTTTTGTTTTCGATGAATACGGATTTTTGAGAATATTTATTTCTATCTATTATTTTAAAACTACTTTTCTTTATTAATAGAAATTAAATAAAATAATTTTACATATTTTAGAATAGTTATTTAAAAGGTTAAATATGTTTTTAGTCCCTAAACTATTGGCCGTTTCTGGTTTTCATCCCTCTTTTAAAGTAAGGTACAATTTGGTCCTCATTCTTTTCGAAACGTTCGTTTTAGTCCTCGGAACTTTGGTTTTAGTCCTCATTTTGTTGCTAAATAAGGACCAAATTTTTAAACGGTGTTAGTTTTCGAGGACTAAAACGAACGTTTTCGAAAATAATGAGGACCAAATTGTACCTTACTTTGAAAGAGGGACGAAAACCAGAAACGACCAATAGTTTAGGGACTAAAAACATATTTAACCCTTATTTAAATAATCGTAATGGTTTATTAATTACGACAATGTAAAAAAAAAAAAGGTTAAATCACTTTAGTTGTCTCTATTTACGTGAGTTTTTCTCATTTCAATCCTCGTTTTATTAGAATTCCTAATTGAGTTCTAAAAGAATGCTAATTTGAATCAATTATCTATTTACGGAGTTAAATTTTTTATGACCTGGAAGTTGATATGGCTAATTTGTTAAACGTGTCATTCATGTAGTTTTATACGTGGAATTTTCACAATATTTTAAACGTGTCATTCCCAACCGTTCTCGAACTGAAGCACTCCCCAAACGGCGCCACCTAAGCCACTCTCTTCATTTTCCTAAGCGTTGCTTTCTTCACGAAACCATCCACCAGAGTCTGTTAGACTGAACTATGCAACCTGCTGTAAGGAATAACGGTGCTCAGTTTTGTACCCCCCGTTTCCCTGTTTGTCAATAGACGACAGAGAGCTGTTAACGTTGATAGTTTTCCAGTCAAGCCCAAATTTGTTCAGCTGTGGACTGGCTCATCGAAACGCTGGCCACCTGCACTGAGATGAGCAAAACCAGGATGCAGAAAAGGGAAGAGCTTTCGTGTCTGATTGACTATTGCATGCAGCAAACACTCAGCGAAATCGAGGAGGCCAAGCTCACCGAAGAGCCGGCTACACCGTTCTCCGCCGACTCCGAGATTGGTGGTTACCTCTTTTATTTTCTCTTTGCGGCGTAGGACGAGTCCAAGTCGTCGCTGCTATGGGTGGTGGCTTGTGAGGTAGTGAGGTTTCGGCCGCCGGCGACGCTGGTGCCGCATATCGCGACGGAGAGGTTCGCGCTAACGGAGTCACACACGATACCAAAGGGGACGATCGTGTTCCTGTCGGCGTTCGAGTCGGCGTTTCAGGGGTTCAGTGAACCGGAGCGGTTCCACCCGGAGCGGTTCTCGGAGAAGAGATAGGAGGACCAAGTATTTGAAAACGTTACTATTTTTAAAATGTTAAATCCTGTAAAAATTCCACGTATAAAGCTACATGAATGACACATTTCAAAAATTGTCCAGTCAACCTCGTAACTCATAAAAAACTTAACTCCTTTAAGCTAATTTAACGGCAGAGGTTCAATTGATTCAAATTAGCATTTTTTAGGACTCAATTGGATATTCTAATAAAACTGGGATCAAAATGGAAAAAACCCACATAAATATGGACAACTAAAGGGGTTTAAACTAAAAAAATATCCTGAAAACTTAGTTTTTTTTAACTTGAAAAAAAAGGTTTTAAGATTGCAAGAATATTGCTCACAAGACTATAATATATAACATTATATTATTACATTTATTTGGTACGGTAAATAATTAATTTTTTTATTCAATTTTATTCAACCTGATTGTAACCATTTAATTTCTAAGTAATGTATATATTTTTTCTAAAATGTTTATGATTTGAAAAGAAAAATCTTCATTGAATTCCTAAAAGTTTTAGAGTTAGGAGAGTCATGGTTGTTATCGGGCCGCTATCACACCACCCATTAAAAATGTCTAATCCCACGCTCTAGATGTATATACCTCGGTGTGAGGGGGGGTGTTGGAAGTCCCACTTCGACTAGAGATAAGGTCAATTCATACTTTATAAGTGGGTGCAAACCTCACCCTACAAGCCGGTTTTGTGGGGTTGAGTTAGGCTTAAAACCCACTTTCTAATATGGTATCAGAGCCATGATTAGAGACTATCCTAGCGAGTTCTAAGTGGACATTCTATTCTTCTATTCCACCCGCAATCGGGCCATTATCGAACCACCCAATTTCGACTATCACACACGAGATGTCTATACCTCAGTGGGTGTGTTGGAAGTCTCACATCAACTAAAGAAAAGGTCAATTTATAATATATAAGTGGGGTGCAAAACTCACCTTACAATATATATAATATTACATAGTGGGAGTTCATCTTTGTAGGGAGTTTTTATTTTTAATTATTCTTTTTTATTATGATAAAAATAGAAAGCTATATTTGTGTATAATGTGATAACTTGTTTTTTATGGAGAGATATATGATTATGTTGATATTGGTAGTAACTTCTATTTAAAAAAGAGAAAAAATATTTATTTCTCTTCTTTTATAGGTTAGCTATTATTTTTTCTTAAGTTGTTGATAAAGAAAAAGACATATCACAAGTTTTTTTTATCATCATCAATAAGATGGAGATTGTTGATAAAAGAAGAAGATGAACATCTTGCTTCAATAAAAAGTTTTGATCATTGATAACTTATGGAAGAGGGTTAAAAACTTAAAAAAATGTTTGGATTCAAGAGATAAATTAAAGACTTAAAGTTTAGCTTTTTGAACTCTTGTAATCTATGTATCTTATTTAAATTAGTAGAAAGAGTCAAAAGACATAACTCAAATAAAATTTGATTTTTCATAAAAACCACCATGATAATTGATTAATCACTATTGATAATCGATTATTCAAATGAAATACACTTTCTCACAAAAGACTTCGTGATAATATATTATCTACTTCTCTTAATTGATTATCACATCGAGAAAATGTTTTTAAAAATTTATGTGATAGATTATCAACAGTAACTTAACTCTTCAAAAATGACTTATATAAATAAAGCGGTGGAGTTTCATTTAAAAACATAAAACTTAGAGAAATATGAGTATTTGAGAACTCTTTGTGGAAAGGTTTTAAAAAACATAGTGTGAATAAAGCGATAACTTTTACCAAGTGAACTATTGTGTGATTAAGTGTTGCTACTATTATTATGAGAAATTGTTCATTCTTTATGTGATTCAAATGAAGTGTTAATTCATTTTGGATTCCAATAAAGTGTTTCTTTATTTATTGTGTGATTCAAAAGAGATGTATTTGTCTTTTGTAGAATTTTGAGATGTTCATCTCTTATGAATTTCAAGAGAGACATCTTTATATATATTTTTTAATTTTTAGGCAAGGTGAAGGAGAATGTAGTTTCTTCATTTTCATACAACAATAATTTATTGCATATCTTCTCCCATAAGTATAAATGAAAATTTCAATCATATGGACAAATTGGTAGCTTCATTTGCTTTCAAACATCGTGAAGAAAATCTTAATTACTTTCAAATCCATTTTCTTACACAATAAATTAGTAGAAGTAAAGACATGTAACAATTTATATACAAATCCAATATTTATTTATACAATACTTAACCTTTGTTCTGTTCAATTTTAGTTATAATTTATGATCTCCTGAAATTTTTTTCTTTTTTTTACCCGTTAAACTGATACTAGATTAATAATCATTGTGGCAGAAGATTTAATCATTTATTTTTTATTTAATATGCTAAATAATAATAATATTTAAACATCCAAAAAACAATCACAATTATTTGGTCTAATTTTTTACTATTTTCATTTTTGTTTACAGGTATAAAAAGTTATTTTTGTAATTCTTTTACCATGTCAAATGATTGTGAAATTATATCAAAGAACCTTTTTCCTATACTAAATATGAGTTCTCTGTCATCGTCATAATTAGACAGGATAAAAGTTGACTAATTTTGAAATTTTCTAAATATAGGTTATCATACAAAAGTTGGATCAGACGGAAAGATGTAAAGTAATTGTTCTATGTTTAAGTGGCAATACACTTGGAACGTAATACGTGGATTATCAATATTAAACTGGTATGAAAAAACAGGTTTTGTATATTATTTAATCAATCTCTTTTAATTAAAAATAAAATTATATAAAAGCAATGATTTTCTGTTGTTGGAGATTTTCTGTTGTTGGAGATCACTCCAAAATTGAATGGAAATGGAATGCTAAAAATAGCTCATAGTCGCCCTTGTAGGATTAAGAAAATGTGGCAACCCCTAAAAGATCAAATACGATTCTCACTCTCTATCGTCGGTTCCGAAGAGGGCAACGAAAAAAAAACTTCCGAAATCTGAATTCTGGAGCAAACCAGACCATAGTAACTCGTAAAGAAAATAATATTAAATAATAAAATTCAGGCCCGTGTTGTGTTTCTCTGCCTGGTTTGGTCCGGTTCCACCAATCCAGGTTTAACTTTTACACCAGCATGAACGATCCACGACGGCGATGGTGGAATAGTGTTGCAACCATCGTTTCCATCACATAGAACAAACACCAATCCAAAACCGTTTGTTGTTAGTTTCTGGCGTACAGGAAAACGGAAAAAAGCAAACCTTTTTTATTCACCTTTTTGGCTCCTCACTTATCACGCCACAAAGC